AGGGAAAGGTTTGGGAGAAGAGAAATCTAAATCTCAGGATCAAAGAACAGCTAAGTGTAGCTGGAGTTTTCCTGCCTGACCCACACACAGTCAGGACAAATCTCTCTCACCTGCCAGTCCCACAGCCACTCAGACCCAACCAAGCAAACACAGAGACTTATATTGGTTACAAACTGTATGGCCGTGGCAGGCTTTTTGCTAACTGTTCTTACAGCTTAAATTAATCCATTTCCATAAATCTATACCTTGCCACATGGCTCGTGGCTTACCGGCATCTTCACATGCTGTTTGTCATCGTGGCGGCTGGCAGTGTCTCTCTGACTCAGCCTTCCACTTCTCAGCTTTATTCTCCTCCTTGTCCCGCCTACACTTCCTGCCTAGCCAATGGCCAATCAGTGTTTTATTTATTGACTAATCAGCAACACATTTGCCATACAGAACATCCCACAGCAGCTAAGGTAGACTTACTTCAGGAATTCTGGAACCCAAGAAAAGTGCATATCCACCCGCTGACCTGCCCTCTGTCCGTCCAGCCATCCAGCCTCCCTGTCAGGAGTTTGGCAAGACAGCAGGTTCCAAGTCAAGTGAGAGCAGCACCTTCAGATCAACTGAAAGATGGCGACCACATATAAAATTCCTTAGCCAAGTGACTGCACATAGCACATACAGTTGGTTTTTAAAGAAAACAGGGAGTAATAGTGTGCCCATGAGGTTTACCAATGACATCACTTCCCCACTGGAAATAAGCTATTGGCTTATTGCCAGAGCAGAGTCCACAGAACTAAGAAGGCTGTGTCGGATTTGGCTCCTCCCTCACTACTCACGCCTTTCAGCTTACTAGTGATGGCACACATGTGAAGCAGCTCTTTTAATGTGGCTCCCAGGCCAGCCTCCTGAGCATCACTTAAGAACCTGCTAGAAATACAGATGGAATCTAGACCTATGAATTAGTCAAGTCTGCAGGTGCACCCACGGCCTGAATTTAACAAGGTCACTCCAATAGTTCTTCTGCACACTAGAGTTTGAAAGCAGCACTAGGTTAAAACACGAATGACAGGAAAATGTGACTTGAGCAACTCTGGCAAGAAACAGAGCACAGTGGGGTCACACAGCTGGTTCAGGGTCCTACATTGGAAGCCCTACAGCAAGTATGTGGGTTTAAATTCCTGCGCTACATCTTATTAGCCGGATGACCTTAAGTAAGTCACTTACTTTCTCTGACCCTCAGGGGTCTCACTGATAAAAAGAAGCAAGGAGACCATCTACTGTTTATGTTATGAAGATTAAAACATTTACTATATGCATTAAGCTTCAAATAATACCTATGGCAACATGAGCACGTTCATGATTCATAATTATCACTTATCACTCACACTCATTCCACAAGGACCATGTGGTAGTTTGTCAAGTCAGCTCTGAAGCCCAACTCCACAAAAAGTACATAAAAATCATTCCTGTTCATAAGGAAAAAGGTCTTATCTTGATTTTAGCAACTGATATTTTTGCCAATATACCATTTATGTTTCTGAGAGAGTTTACATCTAGTTAGAAAGCACTAGCTTGGTCCCACAATTCTTTCAACAAGTCCAGAGGATGCTTCAATGGGTTCATATACTCCAGGTATTGTGGATGCTCTTTGCAACAAAGAACTTACAAAATGAAAAATAAAATTGTACTGAACATCATCCAGAGAAAATGGATTTTCTAGAGAAAATGGTGATGATGATTACTCTAAATACATGTCTAGCTGAAGTTCTATAGTGGGTAGCCAAAAATGGAATGGATAGGTATAAGATATTATGGTAGATTATTGTGTATACTAGTAAACAAATTTAATAAAATAGCAGCCTTAGATAATTTGCACTGTAATTTGCACTGTTATGGATTCTTACATGTTGATACAAATGTAAACTATTTTTATATTCCTGTTTCAGATAATTTGTATATTGATACAAATACAGAACTATATTTGTTATAATGTACATATATTTCTACTCTTATTTGAAATATTTGTATATTGATACAAATGTAAATTTATATCTGTCATACTGTATGTATGTTCTACTTCTGTTTAGGATATTCTGTATATTGATATATATTTAAGATTATTGTCATATTGCGTATCGCACTATACATTCCTACCTCTGTTATAAATATCTTGTGTATTGTCACAATTTTGAAGTCATCGTCCTTTACCGTATATTTGCTTATAGACTGTTTACCTTGTTTACATGAAGCATTAGTCCTTAGGTTATTTAGGTAGATAAGACTTACAGATTTATAGTCACCTAAGCTTGTCATCTCTATAGTTATGTTAGTTAGGTTATCCAGATTTACAGATACATAGGTCGGATGGACAGGTAATCTTCAAACACTTCACAGACCTAGAGAATATGGCATTTAAATAACTTAGAATTCTGTTGATGTGAGACACAATTGCTCCTGGCAGCACCAATTTGATCCCGAGAGAACATTGGGCTTCTAAGACATTTCCATTTGGAAGTTTGTCTTCTTGGCACAAAATGGCCTATTGGGCAAAGAACTGCCCTTGCCTCAACTGCTGACAATACAAGTGCTGTCCTTCTGGACAAGCGGGACACAAGGAAAGCGATCACTGTACTCTGCCAAGACAGGGTAAGATGGTCTTTCAGAATTCCTGCTTCTGAAAATGGTCTGTCAGATACTCTAGGCCTGTAGCCAATTTGAATCCACCAACAATGCTGAGAAACATTAGGTGACTGTCCAGGCTGCCGGCTGTCTCTGTCTACTCTTACAAGATTCCCAAAAGTTGCTTGCATCCATCTTCCATTTCTCAGGTACAATTATATTCCTTCTCAGGTTTTTGATGGGATTGAAGACTAGCAGTTATAGTTACAACTTAGTAGATAGAACATATTAAGTATTAGATTCAGGTTCTTTAGGATAGGACACCTTTTGGAATGATCTTTGTAACATGCCATTTAGCTATGCTCTAGACTTCTCTGGATTTTAGTATGTGTTTCTTGTTTGATATTGTTGGCATTGGTTGTAGTTCCATCTTATCTTGGTGATTATCCCTCATTACTCCTGAACAATATTTGATAACCATTCCTTTGTATAGTCTTGTATTAGGTTAGAACCTTCTTATTTAGACAAAACGGGGAGATGTAGTGGGTAGCCATTCCAGCTTTGATCTGGAAGTTCCAACCCCCAATGAGGCTTCAGTAACTGTCACGCCTACAAGGCGGGCCGAGAGAGGACCCTGAACACCCGAGATCCGAATGCACCAGCTCTCTTGGTTCCTGGACCCTGGACGCTGGAAGTAGACCGAGCAGAGCTCTCCAGAGAACACCGCCAGACTGCGCTACACCTTTCCCAGACCCTGTAACCTATCCCTTCACTTGTAAGTTACCCCACAAAATAAACCTCCCTTTTAACTACATGGAGTGGCCTTAATAATTTCACCAATAAAGTTCTACATGTCAAATAGCTAGCAAGACAACTATCAGCAGAGACACCAGGGAGGATGTTGAAAAGTACCACGACAGGAAAACATGTATAAAACTGCTATGTCTTCTCACCACTGAGGGTCACACTATGTACCTAAACACATAACAATCAAACTCATGTGTCTCAAACCATAACCGTATTCCAACAGAGAATATGCGACTGACCATAGGTACAACAAAACAACCATTTTGAAGATACAATAATAAATACATTTATTATTCATCTGTCTGTTTGTGGTTGTACGCTTGCTTGTTTACACAAGATCTCAGGCTGGTATCCAAGTCTACATAGCTAAAGAGGACCTTGAGTTTCTGAACTTCCCTCTGCCATTTCCCAAGTGCCAGGATTATAGGAGTGCACAACCACACTTGGTTTTATGCAATGCTAAGGATCAAACTCAGGGTGTTGTCCATGCTAGACAAGCACTCTGCCACTGAACCACATCCCTAAGCCCCAACAAATGGATTTAAGTAGTGTGAAAGTGTGTAGTGATATCTTTCAAGGGTCTCAAAGAGTTTTATCTCATAATTTATAAAGTTAGAAATAAAATGAGGCAAAGAGTTAGGATATAGAAGAAAAATATTACACGGGGAGAAGCCAAAACATCAGGCTCAGTACTGAGAGTTCAATTATTCTTAGACCCATAGAGATAACACACCAATTGAGCCCAGCTTGGAAACTATTCAGTCATCAGATATCTACTACTGAGTCTGCGTCCTCAGACCAACAGTCTCTATAAGTAGAGACAGGTATGGATGAGGCACAAAGCAGGTGTGATTCTTTGGTTTTCTATGTAAAACTGAGTTAAAGAATCAGCATTTGATGCTTTGGGGATTTAAAGTTCTTCTTCATGTATCATAACATTTTCCCTTGGTTTTTGTTTAGTGTTTGGTTTTCCAGGAGCCTTTGGCCTCAGTATGTGGCAGGTTTAGCTCCTTCCATGGTTTTCTACTTTAAATGGAGGCCAATGATTACAAAGAACATCCTATCCACTTTTTGGCTTCAAGGCCCCTGCTCAGAGGAAGACACTGTACATTGAGGGGGTGGGGTGGAGAGCTTACTCAAATTATAATACTAACTTTCTAAGGCATATGCTATGGAAAGTCAACCTGCATGGTCATGTTTCTGCTAACCTAAAACTGCCTAATTTCAACTGCATAAAAAGAAGGTAATCTATGCAAGCCCTGATTTATAACTAAAAACCTACAATGAAAAAGATGACTTCTCATCCAGTAATTTTTTAAGAGGCCTGTGAGATGATTTATTTCCAGCAAAATATAATGCAATGGCTTTGTGAGGTTCTCTGAAAAAAGAAAAGAAAATATTCTCTGAAATTAAGACATAGCTCAAAGTCCTCTAGTAAAAGTAGAAGAAGAAAAATACTTTTACAACTACAAAAAATACACAATGAATAAAATAAAGCTTTTCCTTATTATGTCAGAATTAGCCACATGGGAAGCGATAAAGATTTTGAACTTGAAGCCTTCTAAGTAAATCATGTGAACATTTACCTGCACAGTCCTCTGCGTGCCATCAACGTTGACAGACAGTAAGGGTGATGCCAGGTTCCACGTACTGGTCACATTTAGTTTCGACCCATCAACTTCCACCTGTTGTGACACCAAATAAGACTGTTACCACGAAGAAAGACAGGAAACTGATCTCAAGTTCACTGCTGCATGCAAAGCAGCAGCCATTTTAACAGATGGCTTCCAAACAACCTGTCATGTTTACTGCTGCAGCCATGAAAGACAGGGTCCAACAATAGAGTCTTCCCAGCCATCTCTGGGGAGAGGTGAAGGACCTGTGAACAGCTGCCTCTGGATACTGAGGCTTCAAGTGATTTCCAGTAGGTAACAAACAGCCTTCTAACTCAAAATCTAGCTGGACATGCTACATTTACTGCAATTAAACAAGTAATGCATATAAATTCCAGTGACACTTTGCAACCCACACAACAGGGCTTGCATATAATGTCCTCTCCAAGGACCAAGAAAGAACTTTCTCGGTGCTAATTTTAATGATGGATTAAGCATTGTTATCTTAATTAAACACACACCTTAATTAGGCCAGCCTCTCTGGTGCTGAGCAGCCAGTCTATTCAAACTTTGAAAAGTTCTACCATACAGTTGCCAATCATAAAAAATAATTATTGTTTGTTTTTTTTGAGACAGGGACTCTCTGTGTAGCTCTGGCTGTCCTGGAACTCATTTTGTACACCAGGCTGGCCTTGAACTCAGAGATTCGCCTGCCTCTGCCTCCCGAATGCTGAGATTAAAGGCATGCAACACCATGTGCAGCCCAATAATTTTTACCAAATTATCATCAAAAACAAAAAGGCCGTAATTTTTCAAATCATAGATACAATTAGAGAGGCATTTTTAATTTCTAAGTAAGTAACATAAAAGCAGTTGAAAGGAAAAAAATCAAGGTTAACTTAAAACACTCACCAAAGGTTTTTCCTAACTCTGGTACAAGAGATAGGCTGCAAACACCACCACTGTTCTGCTGAGGGCCCTGCTGGTCAGAGGTTACAGTCCACCACAGCCTGGCAGCTCTCTCAGAGCTTGGCAACATGGAGGACCGCCACCCCCACCCACCCCAGACCCCCTGGCAGAAGGCACCCTGTTCTCTACCTGACCTTACTTGGAGACTGTCTAGGCCCAGTGCCTGACTATCTCTAGTGTGACCCTGGATGCAGTTCTCTGTAGAAGCTTCCCCTGCTGCCCATATGACAGTTAGATATTGTGTTAGGAACATTACTATAGCACTGTGCTTCCACATATGATAGCTAAGACTTATACTAGGAGCCTTATGACAGAAGCGTGCTATTTAATGCAAGTTAGGTGAGTCCCCATCTACCGCCCCAATCCTATATATTCCCTATACTCAAATAAAGCTGAAGTCATCTCCTAGAGGGCTATCTCCATTCTATTCACAGGCTGGATAAGACTCTGTGATGCCTCTTCTCCCTTTGCCCCCCATGGCCCAGTGGCCAATGGACTTTGGGGGAGGAGGAAACCTGCACGGTTCTAGGCCTATACACACTTGCACAAGTTTCCTAAAGCCTAAAGCAGATCCAAGATACATGGCCAACAAACCCCCACTGTCAACCAAACTGCACACCCACTCTGTAAAATCAGATGTCAGTGTTCCATTGTCTTTCTATTAGACCCTTGGGGACAGATGAAGAGACAACAGTGAACAAAGACTTGCTGAAACATTTCTGTCAAGTACTGGCTACCCTAAAAGGATCCAAGCTTGAGGACACAGCCAGAGAAGTTGATTAAAGAAGTGAGTCCACTTCCATGATAGGAATCTATAAGTTTCTACATGTCTTAGTAGATCAGTCAGGTCTAAGACAGGATGAGGACCACATGGCACAAGAGATTCCATGGCTGCAGGCACACAGCAGGGACTGTAGGCAGGAGAAGTCTTTTCAATGCAGTCATAGCACCAGAAAAGCTCAAATGAGACCATAAGTTGCTACTCAACAGCTAATGGTCCGTCAGCCCAGCAGCACAGACTTGGAAGGCTCTCTGCCCCACTACCATCATCTTAATTTGGCTCTGACCACTGTTCCAATGCTCTGGCACATGCACCTAAGCTCTATTTTGGTGGGATCTGGAGGCAGAGGAAGAAACCTGAAACAACAGTGCCTGGAAAAGTGTCTTTGCACAAAAGGAAATCATAATCCAGTTTACATGGAAGCTTGTCTTCTTTCTTCCCTACTAACAGAGAGGTCTTATAAGAAAGACTCTACAGGACTGAGAAAAAAAGGGACCACATTTCCATATACACTAGATAAGAAATCAGCACAGATTTGTGATTTCACTACCTCTGAAGCAAGGACGCTATCGAAACTCCAGAAATAAACATCAAGTACATCTGCAAATATTAAATGAGGGAATGTGGCAGAAACTACCCCACACCTTTCTAGGCCCCTATCAGCAATCAAATTTCCCCAAGACAAATATAGTGAACAACAGATGCAATGACTTTATTGATATTGTTATCAGATGGATGAAACTCAGTTGTGTGGATAAGCCACAAGGGAGCAAAAGTACCACAGTTTGCTTCCATGGAAAGTTTGGGCAGACTGACCAAGGGAACTCCAGGTGCTACGTCTTATATGCTGTTCACACAAGTCTTCCAGGATCACCACAGGAGATGAAGAATGGGGGGCATTTCCTCATTACTACACCAAGAACAGTGCTGAACTTGCCACCGCCCTACCTCTTCAGTGACAACAGCTAATGTAAAACAAACCCTGCCACAGAAGAAACCAAGATCAGATGTGGGCAAAGAGAGCACAGGGAACCAGCTTGTGGGAAGTGCAATCTCCGTTTCTAGCCAGCCTTCCCTAATTCAACGTACACAGTGATGAGAAAACAGCCAATGCTGCATCTTGGGATACAACTGAGGAAAATTTTATAAAAGAAAAGGGTAAATAAATTAGGAGCATATAACACAAGAACAACTACTCAAAGAAACACAGGAAGACTTCAGATAAATAGTTCTCCAAAGACTCAAAGCAACCATAGGAAATGTGACCTTCTTTAAAAAAAAAAAAAAAACAGCTCAAAGAAGAAAAACAAAGGTTCAAAGAAGAGATTATACAATAACAGAAGGAAATGAAAAGCAAGCTGGTAGAGCTCAGAAAAAAAATGAAGAGAAAAATAACACTATAGAGAAAAAAGCCACATGAAGAAGCAACCAAAAATAGAATGTGACTAAAAGAAACACCAGGACAGAGAAACTACACAACAAAACACAGCCAGTCACATGACAGCAACAGTGAAGAAACAGACTTGGAGAAGGAAGAAAGACAACACAAAAATACACAATTGTCTTCTTCAAAAAGGCATATAAAGCAAAAAGATAGATGTAAAGCCAAAGATGTGACAAAGTAACTTTTCTGTTTTGTTGTTTGTTTTTTGAGGCAGGATCTTACTACCTAGCTATGGCCAGCCTAGAGTTCACTATATAGTCCAGCTGGCCTCAAACTTACAGAGATCTGTCTGTCTCTGCCTTCCAAGTGAAGGGATGAAAGGTGTGTGCCACTATGCCCAGCCAGAGTAACTTTTCAAAAAAACAAAAACATTGAATTTGTAGGCTTATGATATTAATGGAATTGTATGCCTAAAGAAATAATTATATGGCTACTTGGGCAAAACTAAGAATCTACACCCAAGGAAGGAAAAGAAAATAAAGTCAGCCTAATTAGACAAGAGCAATGCCAACAAAGAAAATCTCAGAGCAATTTGTTCCAAGTAGACCAAAGGAAACAAAGTAACTAACTTTATACCCAGTCAAGGTTTCCCTAAGATATAATATAAAAATAAATTATCTGCAATGTAGGGACTTGAAGGGGGTTCTGAAAATGAGACATCTTTATAAAACTACTAAAGTAAAACTACTCTCAAAGAAATACAGAACGATATATACAGTGTTCTATTCTTTCTTAAGAAAACACTAGGCACATGTACTTTTTGTTGTTTTGTATGTTTTTTGAGACAGTGTCTTGAATGTAGCCCAGGCTTGACACGAACACCAAATTCTCCTGTCTCTGCTTCCCAAGTGCTGGGAAGACCGTCAGGGACCACAACAGCTATCTTTAAAATTAAGTAACTTTGTTTGCTTGTTTGATTGCAGTGTTGGTATGGAGCCCAAGGCCTCTTATAAGCCAGGCAAGTGATTTACTCTGAACTATAGCTCCAGTCCCCAGTGATATGCAATGATTTAAAATTTTTCACTATTCTTTAATTCCCAACAGGAAGATATACATCTCTCTGAGAAGGTGGCCTTTAAGCTAAGATCAGAAAGATGAGTTGGAATTAGGTAAATATGCTACTATTCGGGGTGTGCAGAGGAATATACCTAAGAGGATAAAAATGATTTTTTTTTTTAAGAAATCCAATCCTGTAAGATAGCTTAGTGGATAAAGCACTAGCTACACAAATGTGAGGACCTGAGTTCAAATCCCCAGATCCCAAATAAAGCCGGATGCAATATCATGTTGCTATCACCATAGCATTGGAGATGGGAGATTCCTATGTTGTAGAATATTATTTTAACTAGGGAAAGATATGTTACATTTGTTTATGCTGCAGAATATTATTTAACACATCTTTACACAGTTAAAGTTTGTTTATGCTGCATTTAATCATGTAAAGGTGTGTTACTTTTGTTTATGCTGCATTTGTTTAATGATGTAAGGATGTGTTTAATTATGTAAACATATGTTGCATCTATTTTACCTTGTCTACCTAGGGCATCTTGATTGGTCTAATAAAGAGCTGAATGGCTAATAGCTAGGTAGAGAAAAGATAGGTGAGGCTAGCAGGCAGAGGGAATAAATAGGAGGAGAAATTTAGGCTCAAAAAAGAATAGAAGGAAGAATGAGAGGAGGAGAGAACAAGGGAGACGCCCAGGGCAAGAAGCCAGCCACGAGAAGCAGTGAAAGTAAGACATACAGAAAGAAAAGTAAAACGCAAAAGGCAAAAGGTAGATGAAGTTAATTTAAGTTAAATGATCTAGTCAGAAAAGAGCTAAGCTAAGGCCAAGCTTTCAACTTTAATAATCAGTCTCTGTGTCATGATTTGGGAGC